GGCTCTTCGGTAAGCGGCACCCCTTGCCCAAAACGATAACATTGCACAATGATAAAAGCCGTCCATCCACGGCGTCTATATTAACTACTCTAGTGACGGACAGGTGGTAACTAGTGCTCCACGCAAAATGATTCTTTTCAACTACTCCTTGTAAAACCCCCTCCACGCGAAAGGTATCAGTCCCGCAGTAAATAACATGGATGCTATTCATCTCCCTTGAAAATATGTGTACTCTAATACGCTTATGAAATGATTTATTAGTAATTCTCCTTAGTACCTATGGGAAAAAGAGCGAAAAAAGGCATGTTCATTCTCTTGAAATAGTTGAATTTAGATGTTCCTCTTGTCCACAGATATTATTATACCAAATGGTTTCAAACTAATATATAATTATCGGTGGGTATCCAAAGAGGTTATTGAAGGGGATTCTCTTAATTTGTAAAGCAACATAATAATTAGAAGAAGCCATACCTCAAAGATCCTTGTAGTTGTAGAAATAAAAAAGTCTTTGCGTTACGCCATGAGAAAAAGATGGTTTATATATCATCCTGTTTAACTGACATGTGAAAACTCCTTCAAGAAAAAGGGAAACCAAGACCTTGGGAAAGGGAGGGGGGTCCAGAACCACCACCCAGACACCCTCTAGTTCTGGCTATTGGCTTTTAAGCCTTGTTGTTATCTACTCCTTCTTAGGATCGGCATCGCCCTCCTCATTCTCCTTGGTGGGTGCATTGGGTGCCACTAACGGATCGTGGGGTTGGGCAGAGGGCGCGTCTTCCATAGACAAGGCCAGCGCCCGCCGCAGCATTTCCTCCTCGGACATGTTCGAAATGTCCGTCTCTACAGGCGCCGTGGTGGGTCGGGTGGCGTTGGCCGCCTGCCGCTGCTCCTCCTCTTCGAGGGAAAGGCGCAGGGCCATCGCGAGCTCGGGATCCACGTTCGGATCCACGCCAAAGCCGACGCTCGCGCCGCCACCGCGCTCGGGGCTGAAAATTTCCTCATCGTGGAAAATCGTGCTGCCCATGAGAACGTCGGTGAGGTTGGCGTCCTTCGGGACACTGAGTAATCGGGAATTGTCATTGCGGCTGACTTTCTGGACAAACGACTCGAGCAGCGGCACGTTCTCCTCCACACCGAAGCTCACGATGTCAACGGCCACATCCTCTTTTCGCAGCTTCTTGGCGAGTGTCTCCAGATCCTTGGGAGTCTCCTGAACAGGCGACCCAACGAAGGCAACAATACGCTTTTCTGCACGAGGGTTGGTGCGGTGGGTAAGGGCTAGCGAGGCAATAAGCAGGCCCTTGGCAAAGTGACACTTGGGGCCCCGGATAGTGACTTTCGAAAGGCTTGCCATGACGCGATCCACATCTAAAGTTAGCGTCTCGTATACTGTACATGCTGAACCGCCGGTGGTCAAAAATCCGACAACATTTTCAGCATTCCTTTGAATCTTTGCATTAACCAAAAGATTCGCGGCCTCCTGCTCTGCCATGAGGCGATTAGGAAACTGATCCCCATCTCGCATATACTCGCTCGAGTCTAGGCAAAGAAAACAAGCCTCCGGCATACTGAAGAGGCAAGAAACTATACAG